AAAAAAAACCCAAAACAACAACAACAATGAAAAAGAATAAAAGTAATTTTAAAAACCAGTATATAGGTATGAATATACGTTTTAAATGGCTGTGTATTTTTTCCCACTAGCCAAAGGCTCTGTTTAAACCATGCCATTCTCAGTTTAATATGGGTACAAAATGGAATGTTTTCTATCTCACATGTTAGGAATAAAAGCACATGGTAAAAATCCTTTGGTATTATTAAAATGGATCACCTGATACACTGATGGGCTTAGTTGCACTTCCTTGGGAAGCAGTGGCTTGGATGGGATCTGTTGTATGGTAACCTGTTCGGGAGGATCGGGAAATTGCACCCCATTTTGAGATAATGGGTCCATCACTAAAGGGAATAATTGGGTCTTCTTCTTTTGTCCTTCTCTGCGTTTCAAATAAATGCACTCTTCTCTTAACATCCCCACTGTCCAGGTCCTGCACAAACCAAAGAATATCAATCAAAGAGCCGCTGACAATTACTATAGCTAATGATGTTCTTAAAAGACATATAGGTTTTTCTGGTCAATTTTACACCAACTATAGATCTCAATTGTGTGTAACAACTATATTAAAGTACCAAACTATAGTTAAATAATTGAAACATTCCATGAAATTTGTTTTAATTTGTTAAAATATTACCCTGCTACTTACAGTCAGGATATAAAAAAAAGTTTTCATTTTAAAACTTGAGACATCAACATTATCTTCCCTACCTCCAAAGCCCCCCTATCCCCAACCAAGCAAAATCCTACCATTAGCACAGCATTTGAATTAGCAATCACATCTTTGGGCTCTGAATCAATGGCATTTATACACGAGCCTATGGTGCCACAAGACCAGGGAGAGTAATGGGAAAGATGGTCTTCCTCAAATTTTGTGCCACTCACACTCTCAGAGAACTGATTAAAAAAGAAGGAAAAAAAGCATATTAGTATGAACCCTAATTTTACAAGCTTGTAACTAATACTGAATAGCTATTGTACAATTAAAGGATCATATAGTTAATAATTAAACTCTTTCTGTATCTAATGTAACAGCTGGGTGTACTGGCTCACTTCCACAATAACTATCATTTGGAGACCTGAGGCAAAACTGCATGGAGTTCAAGATCAACTTGGGCTATATAATGAGTTCCACAGCAGCCTTAGTGTATGGAACAGAACCTTCTCTCAAAATGAATAAAACAAGTAAATAAATAAATCGGCACTAAAACAATAATATTCCTGTAATAGAAAA